TCTCGTCTTGGTAGAGAAAGTGAAGGTCTTCTCCGCGGCGGGAATCTCTACCTTGTTTACAGTCCTACGATGGCCGCCACTCAACCCAGTCTGCACAATTTCTACAAATCCAGGAAAAGCGCAAGAGAAACCACTCTAAAGAATGTGAAAGGCAGTGTGGTGAGAGACGCTGATGTGGTGGAAAGTGTCATTTCTGAAGTTAGTGTGGAGAAAAATGTGGTAAATGAGAAGGTTCCTCGGGACGCCATCGCGACACGGCGTTCCACAAGGCCTGCTGCTAAAACCTCCTCTAGGAAGACACAGGTGAAGAAGCCAGTCCAGGGCACCCAAGATATTTTAACGGCTCTCAGGAAAGTTTCTGAAAAGGCTGAGGCCAAAGCCTCTGAAAAGGTACGTTAACTCATGTGCGTTTTGTTTACGTCTTGCGGGAGTTTAAAGGGCTGTAGGCCTCGAGCTTTTCTAACCTTGTCGATTTTCTTTATTTATTGGCCTTTTTATTTCGAATTTTGTGAACTGGAGGCACGGAATTTACATGACTGATTTACGTAACGCGCAATATCAAGGGATGCGAGTTGCGTCATTAATTTTGGCAAAATTTAGTAAAATAAGTTCACCTATTTTGATGATAATTTATCAGAGAGGTTTACCACCAGAAGTTGGTAGGTGCTTATTGAGCTTTAACATAGCTAGCACATGTGTATAATAAGTGTTAGATCAGTTGCATGAAATAGTGTCATGATCCCAAGGCTTGACTCTTGTCAGAAAATGACAATTACCACTATGTATATTTGCCTTAATAGGAATGGGACTGGTTCCTTATTTAATAATAATGTGATAGCCAGATTAAAAGCTCTTGTTTGATAATATATTTTATGATATTGGTTATATAGTCTGCGAGTGGCCTTAATTTTGCTGGTAAGTTTCGCCAGGAACTAATTCCTAAGCTTCACATCTCAAAGTTTATTCAATAATCTAAATTGCTGGGACGACATTGTCATGTATATTGCAACCCATTTTCTCTATATTGTTTTTCATTGCCTATGTAGACTCACTGAAAAATTTCCCAATGTCTTAATGTAGTTATTATGTAAATGGAATGGATGTCTAAAATAGGGCTTTGGTGATATCTGTCATCCAGATTTTTATGTACAAGGTGGACTAAAGACTGTGTGGTTTATGTAAGGAATATGTTGTATCACAGGTACCTAAACACACGTATATATATAATGCACCTCAACACCCCCAAGGAAACATTGGCTTTACCTCAGTATGTACAACAAGATAGAGTAGAAACTCAGGAGTGCTAAGTGGCTTTCTGCGATCATTTTCCTTTATTTGTGGCGTTGTCGTTTGACTGTTGATTATTTCTTGTACCCGTACTGTAAAGGTACATGCATGTATCTGTATATGAATTGCAAATTTACTGTTTTTTCAGGCTGAAGAGGCAACCACTGTCAAGAGTTTACAAAGTGTTAATGTTACCCCTCCTATCACACCAAAAAGAAAGAAGGAGGAGGAGGAGGAGGAAACAAAAAGAAAAAGGAGGAAGCAGGACAATGGGGAAGAAGAACTTGACAGAACTCCTGGTGGCATGGTCAAAGACTTGCCAGCTCCACCAGCACCAAGATCAGCAAAAAAGAAGCTTGTTATGAGTTCTGAAGCAGAGGGAACTCAAGAGGTAAGACTCTATGTGGGTGTCATTTTTAAAGGATGGTCTTTTGTTACTATATGACCAGTTACAGGATTAATGCATTTGCTAATTTTTAAAAATTTTATTCACGTTTGTGAATTAGCCTTTTGATTTGCATAAAATGTGTATAATGAATGTGTGAATGCCAGTATTATCTATTTATCAATGGGGATTCAGTTGAAGACTGATGCATTTAGATGAAGACATGTTAATTTGTTTTTTCTTTGCAGAAGAAATTAACCCCGGCCGAAATCAAGGAACGCTTAGGAAAGTGTGGCCGTCTAGACCAGCTGCGTGCTAAGTTGTTAAAGGTTAACAAATGTGAAGAAAAGCTCAAGCAGTTCAAAGAAAGCACCATTGCAGAAAGCCTACCACCTGTTGTGCCCGCATCACCTGCTAAATCAAAGGAACATCCACAGCTCGCCAAATTCTCTTCTATTGAAGTTCATGTTCCTATAAGGTAAGGATGTTGGTGGTTAATCTGTAATCTATTTTCCATACATTACAGAATTACTATACCAGATAAAATATAAATGATTTAGCACATAGTGTTTTGTGTTCAGTAAAAGTGGGTGTTGAATATTAGAAAATGCTTATTAAGTGGTTGAATTGTTCATTAGCTTTAGGATTTTAGTAAGCCCCCGGATTAAGAAAAGATTTTTGGTTCTTACAACAATATGTGTTGTGTGTGTGGATTTCCCAGGAGTGGCTGGAGTAATAGGGATTTAGCCTCAGAGGGAGCGGTCACATCATGAACCATACCAATATCATTTGGAATGGGAAAAATAAGAAAGGATTTTTACATATTACAATGTGAATCACTGAAATAAAAAAATATTAATGCAATGTTGGGTGGCTGTGTGGAACTAAAAAAGTACCATGGAATTAACTAACTATATAGCTGTAAATATAATCTATATGTAATGTTATTTTTTTCTTTATTAGCCCTAGAAAGACACCAGTAAAAACCCCATCAAAAACCCCATTGAAGGCACCAGCACATGAGCGATTCCAGCATTTGGTGGAGAAACCCTCAGAGGAGTTGGTGTTACCATATAAATACCGTTTCTTGAAGGACATGTTTAGAGCAGTGGATACTGTTGTATCATTGCTTCACAACAGACATGAAGTTATCTCATATAGCAAGTTAAAGCCAGCTGTCCAAGAAATGATGAGAAGGTAAGGAATTTTATGTAATGTGCTTGTAATCTTGGAGAACATTCTCATGCTGAATGAAGGAAGTAATACAAATTTCATATTACCTTGATGTACTATCAAATTTCTTTTTCTTAAACAGAGCATTTGAAGAGCGCCATCTTGGACAAATAAAAACCATTTTCCCCTTGGCATACATCTTCAAACAGGAACGTAGGAACAAAAAGAATGTTGGTAAGATATTTATTTAAGACCCTTGACTATTACAGGCCAAATCACTTTGTAGAGCTGCAAAAATATCTTTTGTTTTTCCATTAGTCTAGTTTTCTTATTCTCGTATTTTATTTCATACTTCAAGTCACATTCCTATCCATTCATGGATTTTGTGTGTGTTTGTGTGTGACTTTGCCAGAAAGCTAATGTCAAGTATTTATTTTGCAGTATCAAATGATGTATCAAAGGGATCTTATGAGTTGACAGTTACATCTAATATGGATTACAAAAGTGTATCTGCATCACAGAATCTAATGAGCAAGTTTGATTCTGCCCCTGCTGAGAATTTCCCAAAAGTATGTATCTGATTATTCTGCAAGTTTATTAATACTATAATGCTTGTAAGTTGATTAATGATTATACTTGTTTGTAAAGTAAAAGGAGTAAGGGATTGAAATATTTAATGAAGGTTTTATTTATATAGCTAATTGCAAATCCTTTTCCAGTTCAGGAAGATGGACTCTGTTGTATTGGTTGAAAGGCGCAATATATTCCACAACGCTCTAATTAACATTGTTAGAGATCATCATTCTGAATTCCTTATGGTAAGTTGTGCCAAAGCTAATTAAGATGTTATTATTATTGGGTTGGGAATGTTTTTGTACAAACATAGAAACTATTTCATTGGAACTTTCACTATAATTCAAAACTCTGTACAAAATCTTAATCTTGTGTTTTCTAGACTTTGGAGCCTCCTATCTCAAGTGTTGGTGCTATTAAACGATGGCATCCAGAGTTTGCCCTGGAAGACCTACCCGATATTGAGGAAGCCCCACTGCCTCAACCGCCTACCATGGAGAAGTTGGGAACAGCCAGAGATGTCCTTGGTAAAAATATTCAATATTTTGTGATACATAGAATCATTTTATAATTTTTCAGTGCTGCTGCTGTTGTAGGATTTGACAAATTATGTGTAATATGTTATGTAGAAAAGGGGAGCATTAATTAAACCAAAAGATGCATTTGTTACATTTCCCCTACAGTTACATGCAATTAAAATGGTTTCATTGGAATACCCTCTCAAATAATTAATTCTCATTTATACCTTCTCTACATTTGTCACTATGGATTATGTAATATCTTCCTTCTATATTTACAGACAAAGCACAAGACCTCTTCTCACTTAACCACAGACTAGAGAAAGCAGTAACAGATGCTGCTGAACAAACTCCAGCACCAGTTGCAAAAACTGCACCATCACTGTCTGCAGCACCAGTCAATACATGTTTAGCTTTAAAGGGTGTATCAAGTTCACTCCTAGAGAAGGTAAGGTGCAATCAAAAATGTTGATCTTGTGCCACAGCCAATGAAGATTGTGTATAATGAATTACAGAATTCCTATAAAAGGTGTAGCACCAAACTTAACCAACCTATTATCATTTCTTTTCTAGATTCGTGCAAGGGAAGCTGCAAAAGCTGCTCGGGAAATGACCAGAAGCTGTGGAGAAAATAAAGAACTTGAAATGTTGTCTCGCCTACCTGAAATTTCCAGAATTATTCGTAATACTTTTGTAACAGAAAAGAAAGCTGCTTTACCTTGGGAAGTTGTAGCAGCTAAAGTTGCTGCCAGTTATACTTCTATGTTAGGAGGAAGTAAGTAGGCTAGTTTGTTCTGAAGTTAATTAAAATATTGTCTTCTAGTTGTTACTATTTTTTCTAAAAGGTAACATTTACTCATGACATGGCTGACTATAAGCAACATTTTGATGAAGATCCATATTATATTTTTCTTTGTCAAGTTCTTGATGTTAAAACATTTGATTTATACCTCATAGCCAAAAATGTATATCTATGAATTATTTTCAGATGAGGTGGATAGCCATCTTGAACTGCTCATCAAGGAAATACCTGGTTGGTGCACTGTTCATAATGTTCGCAGTGGCAGGTTCTTAAAGATCAACAAGAATGAACAGTTATGCAGTGTTGAAGAAAAGCTGCAAGCACTTATCAAACAGAGAAAATAGAGGATTTTATAATCACACAATTGTGTATGGATTAAAGTATGAATACTAATGTTGTAAAGTTGAACTATTCCTTAGTGAGAGGAATAATGCCATAAGGATGTATTTTTTTACTGCCTTTGTGTAATATTGCACTCCTAATAGGCTTAGGTAATGAATGAGTGATGAATTATTTTCAGAGTGCATGTTAAATTTCTGTTAACAATTATTGTGACTGAGTACTGCATGTACCAAAGAGTTGTTATCTAGTGTATACTTAATTTTTAATCATTAATATTTCAGTACAATTTGGAATTGCATATGAACTAAATGAGTGTTTATACACAAAATTTGAGGAAATGACAAAAATATTCCATGGATGGTTGATGGCATACATTGTATACCATTATACGAGACAGTACTGCCAGTGTATTTCCCTTTGAACCAGAACAAATATAATTACAGTTATACTTTCATGCTAAATGCTAACATTTGTATTTCATTTAACACTGTCACCAGGTTTGTTTTTGTGCACTCTCAGAACAAATTTCCTGTTATTTAAGGGTGTATATTTTCAGACTTTATGGAATAAGGATGTATAATATTTTTTGAAGAATAATAGCTTGCTTCATTTTTTTTCCATAATACTTGTTACTGAAATCCAAATCCTCAGGACATGTGTAGTATAGTAAAGAACATTTTGTCAAAAAATGTGGGGAGCTAGGATCAAGTTTTCAGTTGTCTAACATGGCTAGAATGCAATTATATTGCATTACATAATTACTATATTATTGATGTTTACAGGAAGAAAGTTACAAAGCAGTCAACCAGTTCGCAAAGAAATTAATTTGAATATGTCAGATTATAATGAACATTAAAATAGCAGATGATGTTATTAGCTCAAGGTCCCTAGACTTAGAATTACATCAGTTTTTACATTTTGTAAGTACTGTGATTAGATTTAATTATATGTACACATGTTTAAAATCATGTTTGTGTGATATGTTCTGAATGTCATAGCAGAATATACATTGTAAAATACTTTGTTTTAAAGTTGATTTCATTCTTCCCTGAGGTAAATTTGAGCCATGGCTTCTGCATATTCTTCATTTCGAATTCTAGCCAAAAGTTCCCAAAAGCATTTGATCAGTCGCACTATTTCATTGTTTTAAAACGGTTTAGTCTCATTTTGATCTGATAACCCTGTATTCATATTAATTAAATAGTTCTTTTATCATGATTTTGCTCATTACTATCATTTTATTGATTTTCTTTATATTTACTATCCATTATCCTCATCATCCTTTTAGTGAATGTTGAAGTTGCGGGTTAAGACGAAGGAGGAGGAGAGTAAAGAGAAAAAAGGAACAGAAGGAAAAAGGAAACGGAAAAGTAGAAGGAAGAGGAGAAAGAACATAAAATGAAGGTTGATCAAAGTGGAATAGCCAGACTGTGTTAAAACAGAAAATAAGTAAAAATAGAAATAAAAATTAACCAAATACACAAAAAAGGGGGGGGGAATTAAAAACGAAAGGGGGAAAAATATAAAAATAAAAACGAAATTTATATATTAATGATTCAAATAATATGAATACATATAGAAAACGGGATGGTGTTGGTGTTCAAGGGTAAACCAATACAAACTAATTAATTGTTCTATGACCGCGTAAGATAAGGGAAAGACGGAATGTCTTTTATTAATAACATAAGCTGAATAGGGAGAGGCAGCTGCTGTTAACCGATTCAGCGGCCAAGCAAGGTCATAAGAGCGAAATTTCATGTCGCAGACGGAAGATAATGCCATGAGTCGACTTGATCTGATAACAGATCCTTATCTTTTTTTCTTTTCTTTGGTGTGTTTATATCTTTCTTCACTTTGATTTCTGTTAAATCCTGTCTTTATTTTGTTTTTCTTTATCTTTATATATCTTTATTTCCTGTTTTCTTGTTCTTTTCTTTCTACTTTCCCCCCCAATCCCTTGCCCGTTGTTGTCGTGGGGGGCTTAGGAGACGAAGACTGAGACCCAATACAGGGATCTCCCTGCCTAGGACCTCAGCCCTCGACTCAACTAATTTTGCATGGTCTTTTTTTTTTCTCCAGCCTTTGTTTCCGTCTCTTCTCCATCCCCTTCTGCTATCCACTTCCTAAGGTGTGAGAGCCGTGCTGAGAGGATGAAAGGCTGACCTAGTGCCAGTCCTGAACGGCCTGCGGGAACTATGGCATGGTACTCCTGACTAATCTAGCCCTTACCTTCAGTAGCGAAAGGAGGTGGACCGAATAGGCCTATTTACATAATCCAGGTTCCCCATGACCAGTAATGAGAATGTAATCCCTTTATTAGAGGCTATGAGGCTAGCCCCTTTATCAAATAGCCCCAACCCAGGCTCTCCTTTGACCAAGGGCTCCGAACACTGAAACTACTGCCCACTCCTCAATGCCTACTAGTGCATTACCCATCAAGCAGAGAATCAATCTCCAGAAGACATTCCTACCCACCCAACTTCCTCAAATTCAACTCCACCCCTGCAACCTTCATCAAACAACCAATCCTCCCTTATTACTACCTTGCAACCTTATTCTCCATCATTCCGTAATACTCCTCTTCCACACGTCCCCGACTATCCACCACCGCCAACCCTACAGATATCTTAAATACTCTGTTTAGCCCAGCTAAATGGGACCGATTTTTCGTGATCCCTGCTACAGCTCCTTACTCAGGCAACACTCTTCTCTTTCAACAATGCCTCCAAAAACAAGTAGGTAGAGTCCCTTTCTATACCAGACGCGATCGCTCCCGTCTGGTAACAGTCAGATCAGAAACTGAATCTATAGCACTGTCAAATTTAACTGATCATTCTGGCAACCCCATTCCTGCAGAACCTCATCCAACCCTTAATACTTGTACCGGAACTGTCTCTCTCTCCCCAGCAAACTGCCCAGTCGATACCAAAGATTGGTCAGACTGTGGAGAAGACTTATTAGGATGCCTCAAAGACCAAGATGTGAAATCAGTACATTGCTACACCATTCCTCCTAAAGGTCAACGAAAGAATCCAACCAATATTGCCAAATTACCTTCTGTACTCATGACCTTCCCTTACGTATCTACATTGGTGGACAATCCTCCCTGTTCGACCATACCAACCCCCTCCACGTCAATGTCAAAACTGTTGGCGCTTTGGACATCCTGCCAAACATTGCCGTTCCACAGACCGATGCCCCATATGTGCCCAACCTGGTCATAATCGATCAAACTGCTCAGCACAAACACGAACATGTGCTAACTGCGGCGGCCCCCATAATGTATTTTATAGAGGCTGTCCCACTTACAAATTTGAATCTGAGGTAGCAACTCTCAGATACAAAAATGGTCTCACTTTACGTGAAGCCAGACAGGAAGCACGTCGACAAGGTTTCTCTCATACTCCATATTCTAGCAACATCGTCCGCTCAGCCCTTCCCCTCCACCCAAAAATGTCCCCATTTCCACTTCTACATTCTACATCCCTCAGACCAATTCCTTTGCCACTCTAAACCCAGACACCCCAATCTCAACCACAGCTCCTATCTCAACTACAGCCCCAACACCAACCCCTCTCCCTCCCCGCACTATCCGCAGTAGACAGACTAAACGTTCTAACCCTTCTTCCCCTACAGCACAATCACCTCACCTACCTATACCTTTGTTCCTGAGACACCAGTCTCCTCTTCCCCCCCTCATAAGAAAACCTTTATTCCACAAAACTCTCCAACCAATTCCATTGCAGAAACAATTACCTTCCTCACAAAACTCTCCAACAAACTCCACTGCAGAAACAATGGATGACATTCAAAGCTATATGCTTGAGACACAAAATCCCATAACTCATGCTCCTTCCACACTTGAAGTGGTTGCCGATATTCATAACCCTCCTACTAATATTCCCCCTACACCCCTTCCTCCTACTCCCTCCCAACACAACCTAACCCCCCTCAATCCCAACCACCACTGATATCCATCCTCCCAATACCCATCCTCCTGATATGCATCCCCCTCTTACTCACAGCACCCCTACACCCTTTCCTCCTAATCCCTCCCAAGACAACACATCCCCTTCAACTCCAACTATCCATCCTTCTGATATTCATCCTCCTAACACTAACACTCCCACACATCTACTCCCTCCCAACACAACACACACCCCCTTCGACCTCAAACTATAGCACATTCTCCCTCCCTCCATCCCCTCTATCCTTTGCACTCCCTCCAAGGATACACACGAGAATCACTCATGGCACAACAATGCCCTTCTCCAGACTCCCTACCTCCTAATATCCCACCCTTACACCCCCAGCTCCTTCCCCTTCAAATTCCCCAACACGTAAATGTGTTATCATTCATAAATCAACTAGGATATAGCTCTCCTACATTGGAATATTCGCGGTTTCCGCTCTCATAGATCAGACCTACGTCATATCCTTGCTTCTTATAATCCATCTATTATCTGCCTCCAAGAGACTTTCCTCACACACCCTCCTATTCCAATTCCTAATTACCATTTTATCTCTTCCCCACACCCCTTTATGTCTCGTCTATACTTATCCATCATAAAACACCTTATGTCATACCTCCCATACAAACTTCTGTCCCGTGCACAGCTATTCGCATCTTTCTTCGCCGCTGGATCACAGTGATTTCAGTCTACTTCTCCCCATCCCATCCCATTGCTTCTGCCTCGACAACCTGTTCTCCTTCCTCAGACACATAAATATCCTTCTTTTGATCTAACTCCCTTACCTAAACCACCATAATCTTTTCCCTCATCCTCAACCTCTCAACACTATTCTAGATAGTTGACACATAACAACTGTCACCTGACATCCCTCTTTACTATACTTTCCTATAGTGCTATATGACCTTAGATGTCTAGCACATTTATCTTAACCATTAACCATTCACTTTGATTTCTGTGAAATCCTGTCTTTATTTGTTTTTCTTTATCTTTATATATCTTTATTTCCTGTTTTCTTGTTCTTTTCTTTCTACATAAATAAAGAGGACTGAAACACTATTTTCATCTTCCATATTTTGGGAATTTTATGCCTGATTCTGGCATTCCAGTATTTGTGCTTTTGAATTCTTTCCATTTTCTGCAGATGGATCATGAAATAGGAGAAGGAGAGAAATAGTAAAGGAGGAGGAGGAGGAGAGAGAGAGAGAAATGAGGAGGAGAGAGAGAGAGAGAGAGCAAATGGGAGGAGGAGAGGGATAGAGAGAGAAAAGGGAAAGGAGGAGGAGGAGATTGAGAGAAAAGGAGGAGGAGGAGAGAGATAGTTAAGGAGGAGGAGGAGAGAGGGAAAATAAGAAAGAGAAAGAGTGAGTGGGGGAAGGAAAAGAGAGAGGGAGAGACAGAGAGAGAGCAACTCCTCCAACCCCCCTCCTCCCTTCCCCTTTCCCCCCCAACCCCCCCCCCCCCTCCTCCCTTCCCCTTTTCCCCCCAACCCCCCCTCCCCCCTCCCTTTTCCCCCCAACTCCCCCTCCTCCCTTCCCCTTTCCCCCCCAACCCCCCCTCTCCTTTCCGCCCAATCCTACCCCTCACTTCCCCCTCAACCTCCCCCCATCCTCGAAATGACGTGAACTGAAGGAATTAAAGGTCTCATTTCCTTTGATCGCATATCCCCTTTGTCTTACCAAAAAGCCCTTCAACCCACTTGATTTGCCGGCGAAAAAGGGCGTTTATTCCTTAAAATCCTGTTCCTCCTCCCTCCCTTTCCTTTCTCCTTCTTCTTATCCCTCGCTCCTTCTCTTCTCACCCTCACTTCTCTTTTCCTCCCTCCCTCCCTCCTACTACTAATCCTAATTCTTAATCTCTCTCTCTCTCTCTCTCTCTCTCTCTCTCTCTCTCTCTCTCTCTCTCGCTCTCTCTCTCGCTCTCTCGCTCTCCTCTCTCTCTCTCTTCTCTCTCTCTCTCTCTCTCTCTCTCTCTCTTCTCTCTCTCTCTCTCTCTCTCTCCTCTTGCTTCTCTCTCTCTCTCTCTCTCTCTTCTCTCTCTCTCTCTCTCTCCCTCCTCTC